CATACCCCCACCCCCACCCCGAGTATATTCCACTCTGCAACCCTCATTCTGAACTCTTATGAAAATGTTTTATGTAGCAAATGATATTACAGAGTAATTGCAGTACTTTGAAATATTGTAAATTTTGACAAAAAGGTCTGTTGAAACCTTAGAAAATCTTTCCATTTGTTCTCATATAGCAAGTGGACTGCATAGCTGTCAGAGCCTTCTAGGCTATTGGTGAATGAGTTAAATTCTTGCTCAAATTTGTAATCTGACTATGATTATGACTGAGAGAAAGTTAATTGCACTGCTATATTTAAAAATACGGTGGTGTTGAAATGCTAGCCCGTAGAGAAATGCTCATTCCGAAACCAACCTTGCTCCGTTGTAATGTTATTGCAAGTGCAGTTGCGACACTGGGAGGAAATCCCATTCCTGTGGGCAGTTCCTCTTGGGAAAGTTTCATACTGTACATCAAGTTCCCTAATGAGGCTAAGGAGAATGTTCCTTTCCGTGGGCTAAAAAATCTAACACGATTTCACATATTTTTCACGTAGAAGCCTTGTAGAAGCAACTGACTGATACCAAATATTTAAGCAAGTCTATGGAGATTAGGGCGTTCTGGTGGCTTGATGGTAAGTAATTTTGCTGCCAATGCAAAAGTACACAGTCCAAATCCATAGCCACCAGCTGCTCCACAGGAAAAAGATGAACCGTCTCCTCTTGTGCTATTTATAACCTCTGAAAACTCCCGCTCAACAGCACACAACCACGACAGGGTGGAGATAAATTTTAATTTTTTTGTCCCTGTAAATCTTTATTAGCTGCTGCTCCTTATACATTATTCTAATTTTTACTGTTTACAGACTTGGAAATGGATCGTGGGTCCCATGTTCCTGTATCTCTGTGAGAGGTTGGTCAGGTTTTGGCGATCTCAACAGAAGGTGGTCATCACCAAGGTACTGCTTGATTTAGGAGTACTAGTAGTATCTAATTGTTGTTAACTGCCGTGGGGTCGAGCACAATTCGTAGCTATCCTATGAACAAAAAGCCAGAAGACTTTCTGCCACTATTGTCATTTTTCAAAGTTCGTAGAGATTCGTTAGGAAGTGGATGCCACTCATGCTTCCCAATTACGTCACACATGCTTCTAATTACGTCATGGAAAAATCTATCCATGTGTTCTAGGTCATAGATTTTGATCAATGCATCCGGTTTCTTTTGACTATAAACTAATGGCAGAGAGAAAACTTAACAGCATACCATTTATTTAAATGGATTTAGCTTGGGAATCTAATGGTTTCTTAGGGCCTTGAACCAGGGAGTTTTAACGTTATTGTTTTCTAGTGTAAACTAAAATCAGGGACTTTGTGTACATGAATGTGTGTGTGTGTGTGTGTGCGCGCGCGCGCGCGTACACAATGGAGATGCATAGATTGATCATTTAAAGGTGGGTAGATAGGCAAAAAGAATGAGTTCAAAATGACAAATTAAATCTTAAAATATTCAGATTTTTTTTAAAACCCCACACACATCAGCAAACAAAGGGCAAATCTGATTGAGGCTAAGATGATTTCCCAGGTCCACTTCACTTTACTTTTGCTCTTGCTGACAGTCTGGCAGCGGTAATTGTTGACTGTCCAGCATGTTAATAACTAAGCTGCTGGCAGAACTGGGTTTCTAACTCCAACTCTCAAGTGTTTATCTCCTCACCCTGCTACAACATCTCTCATTCCAAAATAAACAAACACCCAACAAAGTTAATAGAAATGGAAACTCCTTTTGATAGTTTCAGGAAACACAAGGGAAGACTTTTTTTTTGTATTAGCTAAAACTTAATTACATTCAACTCAGTTCCAAGAGTATTTACCTATTTGCCTATTATGGGCTAGTTTAATGAAATGCACAGATTCTTTCTTTTGCCTATGGCAGTTTTTCTTTCTCAATATCCACAGAGAGTTTCAATAAAGTTATTCCAACTGGCATAGAAAATCTTGAAATATAGAAAGTCACCACAGTTGTTTCTTTTCTATTTGTTATATTGTAAGAGAGATGCAATAGATATGAACTGCCACAAAACTTTCCTAACTTGACTAGTGAAGATTGAACTGTCAAGTATTTTCCTTAAATGAATTTCTACAATAACATTATTTTCCTGTGAAGGAAATATTCATTTTCTGCTGATAGAAACAAATGTAAGAATTAGCACGCTATCTAAAAGTATTACAGAGACAGTATTGTTATTGTCCACCAGTACATTTTATGTATTTGAATCTTCTTTGTACTTGGGGTAGCAAAATTAAAATATGGTCCAAATGATTACTGTTTCTTTTTCTTTCCTTCAATGTCCCTAGATTTGTGTTCGGCTATACATACAAAATTCCTTCTACTTGAAGAGTATTGGGATTTTTTTTAAAAAAAGTACTTTCTATATTACAGTGAGGACTCTTTAACTTGTTTTCTGTATTTTGTATTCATTCACCAGTGAGGGACCTTTTAAATTTTCTAATTTTCTTTGACTATTATGAATAAAGCTGATATTACTATTCATATACAGCTGATGTTACTATTCATATACGTGGAGAATGAAAATGGCAGAGGATGGATAGGACCTGGGTTGGTGAGAGATGAATGGCATACACTCTGGAGGTAGGGAGAAATTCCAAAGCAAGGAATCAGGTAGGTTCAAGGTACAATTGAGATAGACCAAAGGTAGACCAGTATGGTCATTTGGTTTGGGATATATTGCCATACAAAATAACCAATGAGAAATCCTTCTTCTTTCTGGCTGTGTAGGCCTGAGGAGACAGGAAGACTAAGAAAGAAATTCTCCCTTCCATTTCTATCACCTTCCTTGGATTCTTGGAAAAATATGTGCAATAGGATCATGTCTTAAGTTGAATTCCCAGGAAGTGGGTTCTGAGGCAGAAATGAATGCAGATGCTTCACTGGGGCATGTTCTCAGGAGATGAAGCTGCAGAGGACGTTAGAGGAAAGAAATGGAAACAACACAACAGCTCCCTAATGCTGACTAATATAACTGGGCTTTTCTTTGAGGGATGTAGTACAAGAGGGAAAAATCTTTTTAATACAAATTGTCAAACAATTGCACAACTCATGATTATGGAAAGGGAGATACTGACCCTAAGTAAGGTTGCAGTCGAAGTCTTAGCTGACCCTGTAAGGAATGTAAGACTTGACAGGCCTCCTCTGCGCTGTCCCAAATTGTGGAAAGGGAGCAGGGTATCTCTGCATCTTTGCATCAGTCAGCCAGCCATTGGCCAATGGCTGTAATGAAGGGCAGTAATCTGTAAACGCCTCATCTGTTGGAGGAACTGTTGTGTTGGCCCTAAAAAAAGGCCTTGGGCGTGGCATATTAACCCAGCTTTCTTATGTATATAGACACAAAAAAAGACAAGTATTTGGGAGACAGGACAGTTTTCAGGCATGTGTTTTATTCCGTAGGTGGTCACTCACCCTTTCAAAACTATTGAGCTGCAGATGAAGAAGAAGGGATTCAAGATGGAGGTGGGACAATACATTTTTGTGAAGTGTCCCAAGGTGTCCAATCTGGAGTGGCATCCATTCACACTGACATCTGCCCCTGAGGAGGACTTCTTTAGCATCCATATTCGCATTGTTGGGGATTGGACAGAGGGGCTGTTCAATGCTTGTGGATGTGATAAGCAGGAGTTTCAAGATGCCTGGAAACTACCCAAGTGAGTGTAAACACATATTTCATAGCCTGCGTATCTGAGTTTAGGAAAAATTGCCTTTACTATCTTCTTTCCCTCTATCTTTCACTCTAGTACCCCTTGATAATTTTATAAAGCACACAATTTCTAAACAAACTAATAGTATCTCTGGATTCTTCATTTTCTAAATGGGATATATTTGTGCTAGTTTTCCAAAATAATCTTATGTAAAATAGAAAACATTTGAATCTAATATTAGTTATGGATACCCTGAAATTCCTTTAAGAATTTATATTAACTTTTCCTAACAAAATAATAGTCTATCCAAGATATTAATAATATATCATTGACAGTAATATTTTTGAGGATAAATGTGTTATAATAGTCTCCTTTGTTTCCAATCTACATCTATGTAGCATAGCATTATTTACTTAGTAGCTGTTGAAGAAAAATTCCTCGAGTGAATCCATGAATAAATGAATGAAAAAGGGGAAGGGTTACAATAAGGGGTTGATCACACGTTGCAATAATGTTAAATGCCGTCAAGTTGAATATGACTAATAGTGACCGTATGAACAACAGATCTGAACCCTGTCCTATCCTGTGCCAGCCTCATACTTCCTGATGCATTACAACCCATTGTAGCAGTCATCATGTCAATCCACCTACCTAGTCGAGGGTCTTCCTCTCCTTTAACGACCCCCAACCCTTCCAAGCATCATGTGTATGAAGGATTGAATGAAAAATCTAATATGATTTCTAAATTATCATTCAAAAAATTATTTAAATAAAAATAAAAAGACAAAAGTCTACAACATATTATGATGTAGAGATTTCTTCCTTAATTGTGTAACATAAGCAAGCAAGAATTTCAAGTGTGAGATGCCCTGACAGGAGAGACGTGTATGTCTGTGTGCACGTGTACATGTGCATACCCATATGCACCTGCCCATGCAAAGCACATACACACAAGAGAGAGCAAGAGTACCTGCACTAAACAAACATTTTCAGTTACACAAAAATTTCTTTTTTTACTACCAACTCCTGTGTTGACATGAACTTGATTACTTGAAAGCTATTTCACAGATGAAGGCACCATAGAGACAAAATTGAATTGGCATATTTCACATCTTCCAAAGAAATTATTTGTACTCGGAACAACAAGCTATTTTTCTAATTATCTCCTCCTCCACTTCCTTCCAGGATAGCGGTTGACGGACCTTTTGGCACAGCCAGTGAAGATGTGTTTAGCTATGAGGTGGTGATGTTAGTGGGAGCAGGGATCGGAGTCACACCCTTTGCATCCATTCTCAAGTCAGTCTGGTACAAATATTGCAATAATGCCACCAATCTGAGGCTCAAAAAGGTAGGTTTCTTCCTCTTTTGGAAAACCTGAATGGTCATTATACTCTGACAAGTGAGAACTGAGAAAGTATTCAGACTAGCAGAGACCCTAGAAAGTAAAGTTCTAAGTGGTTCCATAGAATCAGAATACTCCTAAAAGGGATATTTGATATGTTAAATGTGCTTCTAGGTGAAAATTTCTTTGTGAAAGTAAAATATTTGTGTAGCATTACTGGAAATTCAGAAGAAAGAAAGTTGCAAAGAGAGATGGTCTTGGCAATGGTAATAACCCAGTAGCCCTATTCACGTATTTTTCACGTTTGAATATTTCTAGAAGGTTATAATTATTACTTTTTCTGTTATGTACTGTCGTGTCACAACGGATTCAATTTCATCTCCCGTTTTTGTCATGTAATAAGCATTTTTCTGTATCATAATGAGTACTTAAAATAATTTCACCCTTTTCTATTGAGAGAGTATAGAATGCTTTTTCTGTCATTGTATGTTAGATATTGAGATTTATTAAATTTCCATGGGAACAGAATACATGTCCTTTCATGAAATTGTATCTTTCTTATGCATATTTCCTTGAGATAAATTAAATTCCCCTGGCTTTGTTTGCATTGTGGTGGGTTTGGTTTTTTTTCTACATGTAAATTTTATTTCATTGCTACACACAGGACATCTTTAATAAGCCTTGATTCATTCTATTAACTATAGAGATGAACTCTAAGAAAATTGAATCTGCCTTGAATTTTCATTCTCCCCCTTTACTTATTTCTTATGTTGAGAAAGGGAAGGTGGAAGTAATTTACTTTCCCCCCCTAGCAATTCTTCAATGTGTGGCCATTGGAGGCACAGGAGGAATCCTATGACAGTCCCTAGTAATTGAAATGTCATTGCTCTTTCTGAGAGGAGCTATGGAAGAAGCCTGGAATTCTGGGAAAGCAAGAACCGACCCAGAAATAAATTCTATGAGACCAATGACGGGACTTTCCCCCCAAGCTGTGTATTTTCAAATCCAAGCTACTTACTACCTTTCCTGGTTGTAGGCCAGAGAAGATTCACATGAGTTAGCATTTCCGGAGAGAGCTCTGGTGGCATACCTAGCCCACAGGGAGCTGCACTGATAACTTAAATTGTGGTTGGAATCCACCAGCACTTGCACTGGAGAAAGATGGTCTATATAATCTCTGAAACCCACTGGAGAGTCAGCTACGAATCCGTTCTGACTTGACAGCAAAGAGTGAAATCAAGGGGTAAAGTGTGTGTGTGTGTGTGGTGTTTCTAGGCATTGTAGGTAGCGGGAACGGTAGAAGGTTCATAGCTTCAATCTACCAGCCACTCTTTGGGAGAAAGATGTGAAAAGTCTGCATCTGTGTAAAAATGCAAAGATTTGGAAACCCTATGCGGCAGTTCTACTCAACCATATATTAATGCTCATAATCCTTGTCCAATCCACGCGTCTTCATGGCCTATCCCTCTTTCAGATCTACTTCTACTGGCTGTGCCGGGACACACATGCCTTTGAATGGTTCGCAGACCTGCTGCAGCTACTGGAGGCACAGATGCAGGAGAGAGACAATGCTGGCTTCCTCAGCTACAACATCTACCTCACCGGCTGGGATGAATCTCAGGTTAGGACAAGGGTCTCATGGCAGGCCCTTCCGATCGGGTTGAGAGTTTGCTGACTTCCATTTGGCTTTTGTTGTGTTTTGTGTACCGTTTTGCTTGTTTTTGTCTTTTCCCAAGGACAGTTGGTGGATTTTGATAATCCAGTGCATTTGGTCTCACTCAGTAGTATCACATGTTTAAAAAGTTGAGATTAGCTTCAGAGATGGTTGTTGTTATTACATTGTTATGTATTATGGAGTTAGAACCAAAAGAGAGCTCCCTAATGGTGGTAGCTGGAATAAATCAAAGCTAAGGAACCTGTTACTGTCCATTACAACTCATAGCAATCCCTTGTGTGCAGGGTAGACCTGCTCCATAGGGTTTTGAGAGCACTGATGCCCTAGTGGTAAGGAGTGGTGCTGCCAACCCAAAGACACACTATTCAAATCCTCCAAGCTGCTTTGTGAGAGAAAGATGGACAATCTCCTCCCGTGTGATTTACTGCCTCTGAAAACCCACTGGAGGGTCAGCTATGTGTCTATTCTGACTTGATGGTACCTAACAACAACACAAAGTCACCAAGCTTACTCTTCTGAGAATATTCTCAGTGAGTTCAAACTAGCAACCTTTTGGCTAGTACTCCAGTGCTTAACAATTTTTGCCATTCAAAGACGTAAAAGCTGTGAATTTGACCTTATTAGAGAATTGTGCCCAACAACTTTCTGTAACAAAGTAGACAAGATGACTTGTAGGAAGAAAATATCCTCTCTACTCTAGTTGTTGCTGTTCGGTGCTGTGGAGTCAATTCTAACTCACAGTGATCCTATAAATGGCTTTGCCAATTCCTGTGATAATGTCACATTCTCCACCAGGTTCAAGGCCATTGTTGCAGTCCTTATGCCAATTCATCTCCTTGATAGTTTTCCTTACATCCGCTGACCCTCTGCTTTTGCAGTTGCATTGTCACTCTTGCTCTCTACCTACGTGCATGTTGCTGTTTTTATTGAATCAGAACCAATACATAGTTGACTCTCCAGCAGGTTTTTAGAGGCAGTACCCATTACTCATCTTTCTCTTGAGCAGCAGCTGATGGATTCAAACCATGTACCTTTGGGTTGGCAACACAATTCCTTACCACTAAGCCACCAGTGCTCCCTAGAATGTACAAGATATAAGCATATACTATGTTCCAGGTACTACTATTCATATTTACATAGACTATTTCATTAAATCTTCACCATCATATGAAATAATATTTCATATTATTTGTAGATATGAGGACTTAGGTTTTATAATAGTGTGTGAATAAGACAGGTTCTGTACTCTCACTCCTGGTACTCACAACAGTTCATGATTATTATTTGAAAAGAAAAGGCGCATTGCCATGGGAAAGTCTGCTGTTAGGGACCTCTCCAAAGTGCTGAAGAGCAGTGGTGTCTCTCTGGAGACTAAGGTGCGTCTGATACAGGCCATGGTCTTCGCAATCACCTGTTATGCATCAGAGAGTTGGACAATGACCAGGGAGGATAGAAGGAGAACTGATGCCTTTGAGCTGTAGTGCTGGAGAAGAGTACTGAGAATACCATGGACTGCTAGGAAAACAAACAGATTTGTCCTGGAGAGGGTTAAACCGGGTGGCTCCTTGGAGGCAAGGATTCTGAGGCTCCGTCTAACTTACTTTGGACGTGTAGTGAGGAGAGACCGGTCCTTGGAGAGGGACATCATGCTTGGGAGGGTGGAGGGATGGCGCAGGAGAGGAAGGCCCTCTGTGAGGTGGATTGATTCAGTGACTGGGATAATTGGAATGGGAGTGTCAGAGACAGTGCGATTGGCACAGGACAGAGCGGAGTTTAGGGCTGTTGTACATAGGGTCGCTATGAGTCGCAGGCGACTCGACAGCACATAACAACAACATAAATAAATAAATAAATTTAATAACAGTAATGACTTTGTTACTTAGTGCCACTAGAATAGATGGCTTTAAAAAACAGAGCTTTATTTTCTCAAAATTTAAGAGACTAGAGGTTAAAATTCAAGATCCTGGCTCTAGGAGAAGTATGTCAGGGGTGGTGAGGATGGCACATGATAGGCCCAGGTTCAGATCTGTTGTTCATAGGGTCACTATGAGTTGGGCTCAACTCAATGTCACTTAACAACAATAACTGGTGCTATGTTCACCTTGTAAGCCTATCTGTTGTTTGGTTGAAAGTTGAGTCACAGGGTGAGTTTTGTTCCAGGTGTGAAGGTCCATAGTCTCAGAGGTTCCACCAGTCTCTATCATATGAGTAAGCCTGACCTTGTTTATGCTTTTGAGTTTTATTTCACCTTTCCCCTCTCTCTATCCAAGATCTTCTTCTAGGATCCATTTTAGAGTAGTCAGCAGTGGTAGCTGGGCACCATCTTCTACTCTCAGGATGGTGGGAATTCACTACTTGTTTCGGTAAATTTTTGCTTTTCACCCCTCTTATTGTTAGTAACTGAGAGAAACCAATAGTTGTACCTTAAATGGCTGCTGGCAAGACCACAGTTGCTACTTACCAAACCAGGATGTAGAACACTGTCTTTGTGGAAATACAGTTCATTTTTAAGCCCATCTCTTTTATCTCACATTTTATTATAGACAGTAAGAAGAAAGTACATGACCCTTTTAAGATCTTCTGTAGAAATAGTATCAGCCCAGTATCCAAATTAATTACTCACAAGTTCTATCTTTCACCAAACATTTGAACATAATTCAGACAAGTTGACTGCACAAAAAGCATGATTTCCCCTCCCCACATTGTCTGCTTTCATATTCATCATTTTCTTTCAAAGCTCCCTAGAAGCACATTTTACATGCCGTTTTTGGCAACATTGTGTTACAGATGTCATATGTATTATCTAAGATGATAGAAACTTTTCTGTAGATTTCCTCCTTTTCTTCTGAGCCCTCATAGGAATTGCTTTTGTTGGCCATAATTTCACCAACAGTCTCTTCAAAGAAATCTAAACTTTTACTATTAGGCATTTTAAAACTCTTCCAGTCTATGCCCTTTACCCAATTCCAAAATTACATCTACATTTTGCTGTTGTTATGTGCCATCAAATTGACTACTGCATCATAGTGACCCTGCAAACAACAAATCTGATCCTTACCCTATCCTGAATCATGCTCCTGATCTCTGATATGCTTGAGCCCATCATTATAGTCACTGTGCTTATTTATTTTTTAAAATTTATTTTTATTTTGTATAATTTACATACAGAATTTGTATACATTGTGCTTCAATCATGTACATCGTATTTCACACATTCCCTCATTAACATTGTGTTTCATATTATCATTCCGATATATTGTGTTTTATAAAATTCATCACCATATATCTATACCCACTAGTACCCTAGTATCCCATCTCTTTAGGTCTGCAGTGGATCTTTTCTAATTCCTTCCCCTCTTCCCTCTGTCAACCAAACTCTGCCACCCTATGATTTTCCCTCTCCTCACCCTCAGCCTCGCTGCCTCCTTTGAACTTTAACACACATCTTACTAGTTATTCTTCTGTATTTTTAAGTCAAGATATTTTTTCCTTTTTTGTTCATTGTCGCACATTTCCTTCCTCCCCCTCTCCTAGCCCACTCTGTGATGCACCCCTTATTCCAGATTGTTGTAATACATGTAATGCATAATCATATATTACTTTTGGGCAATTCTTCCCCTCATCTATTCTAATGCAGTGTTCATTATCTATCCACTCTTTACCCATTCCATCCCCACCTTACCCCCATGCCTGTCCTATTTTATAACAGTGGTGTTATGCAGTATTTGTCCTTTTGTGACTGAGATATTTCACTTAGCATAATGTCCTCAAGGTTCCTCCATGTTGTGTAATGTTTTGTGAATTCATTGCTTTTCAATGTTATGTAGTAGTATTCCTTTGTGTGAATACGAGAGAGGGAGAGATATTTTCTATCCATTTGTTTGTTGATGGACACTTGAGTTGCTTCCATCGCTTTGCTATTGTTAATAATACAGCAATAAACATACATGAGTGTATTCTCCTTCTATTTTTTACAACATTGCTCTTATGCAGTATTTATCCTCATGAGACTGAGATAGTTCACTCAAAATAGTGCTTTCCAGCCTCACTCGATTTTGTTGAGGATCTTATATACTTAAGGTGATAGTAACACTCCTCTTCTGGAACCAAATTCTGGCTTACTTATCTAGCAAATGCTATAACAGAAATACCACAAGTGGATTAACAAAGAGAAATTTATTTTCTCACAGTTCCAGAAGTTAGAAGTTTTACTCCTAGGTTCTTGATACACTTTGAGTTGGCTTATGTGTATGATGTGAGGCATGGTCTTGCTTGAGTTTTCTACAGATGGTTTTCCAATTTTGCCAACACACACACACACACACACACACACACACACACACACACAGCTACCAAAAGTGGCTTTTGTTTCTCCACTTGAATGATTTTGTCTGCTTGTCAAAATTCAGTTGACCATAGGTAGATTAGGTAGATGAGCTGATTTCTGGGTTCTCAATTCTGTTCCATTGATCTATGTGCCTGTCATTGTACCAGCACCACAATGTCTTCACCACCACAGCTATGTAGTAAGATTTGAGATTAGGGGGTGAGATGCTTGCATCCTACCTTGTTTCTCTTTTTTAGGAGTGCTCTACTTATTCAGGATCTCTTTCCATTCTAGATGAAATTGGAAATTGCCTTTTCCATCTCTTTGAAGAATGGAATTGGTATTTGTATTGAGATTGCATTGAATTTTGAGATTGAGATTAGAAGTTGTGAAGGCTCTTGAGAAAGCTTCTTGTCTCTTCCAAGCTTCTTTTCTTAGGCTATCTTAAAGCGCTTGGATTCTCTATCCTCAGCTCTGCTTCTTCTCTTGCTTGTTTAATCTCTTTTCTCAAAAGACCTTGATTCAAGACACATCCTACACTAATCTTCCCTCTTTAATAGAAGTCAAAAGACAACTTATTCCAAAATGAGATTAAAAGCATGAATATAAAAGTTAGAGGAAGCTCTGGTGGCATAGTCTGTAGGGAGTTTGCTGCTAACCTCTGCCTCCCTGGAAATCTGAATCCAGTGGTGGCTCTATGGGATAAAGATGAACAATCTCCTCCCTTGTAATTTATGACCTTATGAAAACCCTCTGTAGACTTGACAGCATTGAGTTTTTAATAATAGAGGTTAGAATTTACAACACATACTTTGAGAGCACATAATTCAAAATTCAATTCATAGCATGGTAATGTGTGTGTGTGTGTGTGTGTGTATGTGTGTGTGTGTGTGTGTGTGTGTCTAGACCACTGCTCTAATAAAATAAGCCAGTGGTTCTCAACTGAACTGAAGTGACTTTGCTATTTCATGAAAACACTCACGAGGTTCTGGAAACATTTGTGGCTGTCACACATAGGGAGGGGCTCTTACTGGCATCTAATGAGTAGAGGCCAAGGATGCTACTAATTATCTGTCAATTTACATGACAGTCCCCCAAAATAAAAAAGTATCAAGGTCCAAATGTCAAAAGTTCCAAAGTTGAGAAACTCAGAAACAAGCAAATAATTTCTAGAGGAATTATTAATATCTTTGTAAGTGAAGAAAACTTAAAGACTTGGCATAGAAACAACACAAACTGTCAGCCTGACTGAGGGGCTAAGACAAGAATCTCCACCTAATTCTCCGATGTTTCAGTGGGCCACACTCGGATGTTGACTCCCCACCCCCCTGGGTCAATGTGCCTATTTAGAAAGACTAACTTCTCATTTGGCTTCTGGCTTATTATTTCTCCTCATTCTCCAAGTCCCAGAAGTGTCTTGTAGTAAATGTAGATTCAAGAACACATGACCTTGAGAAATGGTTCCCCGCAACAACAACAAAAAAAGAGGTGATTTCATGATCCCAGTTTTACAATTCATAAGCAAAGCAAAACTCTTGAAAAATATAAATCCAGGAGAAAAATGCCTGTAAAAATATGAATTGCTTTTATAGTTTTTTTTTAGTTTTAAATAAATCAGATGCATTTTTTTAAATGGTAAGTTTATTTGCATTGAAAAAAACCATTCTTTTTTTTTTTTTGCTTTGCAAAACTGGTCATTAGGTTTGTTAAACTAGAATAGCTAAGTTTCTTAACTTGCTCTGTCTTATTTCATTTTTAAGCAAATGTGATGAACCACTTTCATGAACTGAAAAGCATCTGCAGTTTAGACTGAGACATACTAGAAAACCAAAATAAACTCTATGTGTGCACATATATGCATATATACACATGTGCCTGCACACACACACACACACACACACACAGAGTAGCTTCAGACATGATCTAATGCGTCATTATTTTATCAAAATACAAATGTGTTTTAATCTATGATTATTTAAGTTTTAAATGCTTCTCATAAAGTATCCAGAGTATTTTAGGGTGAGGAGAAAAAGCCAGGTACAGATCAGACAGAGAATCTAAACCTTAATCACACATCAACCAGTACCAGTAGCTGCTGAGCAAAATCCACTTCATGATGACCCTATGTACAGCAGAATATGACTGTGCTCCATAGATTTTCATGGTCTTTTGGAAGTAGATCATCAGGCCTGTTTCTCAAAGGCTCCTATGGATAGGTTTGGACTACTAGTCAATTAGTAGTTGAGCCTAGAAGGCCAACCTAGGAACACCTCAACTCAAAATTGAAATTCTAGTGGCATAATCCTTAGGGAGTTGTGCTACTTACCGGAAAACCATGCCTCACTGTAGGTTTGAATCTACTAACAGCTCTACTTGGTTCTAAATGGTGGTTATGATAGAAAGTAACTCTTATTCTGACTTCGAAGTTCAAATGATGTCACTCTGAAACTTCCCTGTGTCCTCCTCTACCACCTCCATTCTTTGTTCTCACCGTAGTATGTTTGCCTCATTCTTTGTTCTCATAAAAGAATGTTTGCCTCATTCATGGCACTCATCACAACTTAAGCAAGAGATAGGATTATTTATGCTTCAACCTCAAGGTCTCCCCTTTCTAAATTGTAAACTGCTTGAGGAAGACTTAGTTCATTTTTTTTTTACTTTTCAAAAGCAGCTTTATTGAATTAACATTTGCATGCCACACAATTCACGTATTTACAGTAAAGAAGGCAGTGGTTCTTGGCATATTCTTTGTTATCATTACAATGTAAGAACATTTCCATCATCCCCAAAAGAACCCCCTAACTCATTAGCAATCACTCCCCATTTCCCACACAGTTTAGCTTTAGGAAACTGCTCATTTACTTTCTGTCTCTACAAATGTACATATTCTAGATATTCCAGATAATTGCAACCACAGAGTGTGGTCCTTTGTGACTGGCTTCATTTATTTAGCAAAATGTTGGGGTTTTTGTTTTTGTTTTTAACTTTTAGCATGTATCAGTACTCCATTTCTTTTTACCACCCAATAGTATTCCAGTATAGGAATATACTACATTTTATTTATCCATCCATCATTTAATGGGCATTTGTGTGGTTTCTTCCTTTTGGCTATCATAAATGCTGTGTACATTTTGTTTGGGTACTTGTTTTCAGTTCTTTCCTACCTAAATGTGAAATTGCTAGACCGTACACTAACTTTATGTTTAGCCAAGAGACCTGGTGCTATAGTGTATAATATATTGCATTGTTTACCAAAGGTTCATAGTTCAAATCCTACAGGTGTTCCACAGGAGAAAGACGGAGAGTATCTTAAAGATTTATAGAGTGTGAAACCTGTTGGGAATCATTATGATTTGAAAATAACTCAGTAACAGTGGGTATCATTTTCAGTTTATTTTTGCCACTTGAGGCATGGGCATTTTAATCTTTGTTTAATATCCAGTTCTCTATCATTGATGCTTTGTCCAATTTTTGTTGTTGTTAGACAGTGAGAGCCATAGTTTATGTAAATAGCATTGACATTTTTGTGAGCCATATGAATACATCTCTATGTGTGCTTAGGGATCTCTGTTGTCCTAGTGATAAGAAACTGCACTGCAATCCCTAAAAACATGCAGGATTGGGTGTTTACAGCATGTCTCCTTATTGGGCTTTCCTGTCCTCTTGTGCAGGCCAACCACTTTGCTGTGCATCATGATGAGGAGAAAGATGTGATCACAGGCCTGAAACAGAAGACCTTGTATGGCCGTCCGAACTGGGATAATGAGTTCAAGACAATTGCGAGTCAGCACCCAAAGTAAGAGGCACTCAAACCAGAGGATTTTTGAGGCACCTGTCTTCTTAAGGCATGATTATGAGCATGGTTAGATTTGTACATTATAGAAACTAAAATAACTAGAGTGCTATCCAGCAGTTGACTTTGTGCCCAACAGAAGGTTCTTCTAGAGACCTCTGAGTTTAAGAAATAGTTCTCAAAGAATAATAAGTATTTAGGAAGTTATTAAAAAAACCAAGATTCCCAAACATTTACTTGAGATTTCCCAAACTCTGCCTATCCCAAGTATGATCAGTTCCTTACTTTAAGTTATGACTTGGCAACCTAAAGTAAGTTTACCAAAGTCCTAAGGTTCTTTCTACTCTTGCCACAGTTTTACTTAGCACAGAACTTTGCAGGCATCTTCATCTGGTTAGAATGCATGACCAATGAAATAAATCACACTAAAATAAGCACCTCTTAAACATTAATGAGCATACGAATCACTCCAGGATCTTATTCCTCTATGGCTGTTGATTTTGTAGTTCTGTGGTGGGTGAAGCCCAAAAATCTGATGACACTCAAGTTACTGGCATAACTGGGGGTATATAAAATAGGTTTGCTAATGATTTCAAGTATCCAGGGCAGCTGAAGGCACAGATTGCTGCAGAACACAGCAGCCCACAGACTTATGAATCCACCTTTTCTATGTGATAGAAGTTTCCATAAACTCTGCTGGGATGTTACTGTCTAGGGCAGTTGACTGCCCTTTGAATCATCCATGGCCCCACAAGTATGACTGAGCCACACTTCCACTGGTACATTCACCATTTGTTGGAGGTAAAAAGGAGCAGAAGGACCTGGCATTAACAGAAATCTCCTCACCTTATATCCTAGTAATGTCTACTTTACCCCAAAGCCTGAAATGATCTCTTTATTTTTTTCTTCCTCTCTTTCCCCAAAGTACCAGAATTGGAGTTTTCCTCTGTGGACCTGAAGCCTTGGCTGAAACTCTCAGTAAACAGAGCATTTCCAACTCCGAATCTGGCCCTCGAGGAGTGCATTTCATTTTCAACAAGGAAAATTTTTAACTCATCACATCCATGAGGAAAGAAATAGTGGAATGGGGGGTGGGGTGGGAGATGGGGGACTTATACTGCTATATACCCAAATAATGTTAGTTAGTAAGATCAGCCTCTCCCCATTTAAAGTGAAGCTAGAAAGAAACTGCAATGTGATTTTTCACCCCTCAAAAGAATTTTAGAGATTGTTTGATAATAATGGTTTCCATTTTTATGAGGCCATATAGTTTCCAAATCACTTTTGTAAACGTTATTGTCTTACTTTTCCCCACAGTAATACCACAAGGAAGACAATGCAAGGGTTCCAGGTCTCATTTTTTAGGGTAAAAACATAGAGACTCAAAGTAATTAACCAGGCTAAGATCGGTCATGAATCTAAAACCAGGTCTAGAAATCCTGTCCCGAAGTTTCCATGACATTGCCTACAAATTGATTCGTGTACTCCCAGAAGGAAGATGCAAATCAGAGAGAAACTATTCATTTTCCATTTTGGGGTTTTTTTAAATGTAATTTTTTTGTTATCATCATCGTCAAGTTTTCCAGATAACCAGGAGCTTCTAGATGTTGAGAGTAATGTGATTCATAATGGAGACAGGATGGACATCTGAAGAAGAATCTATTACCTGTACAGCAATTACCAATACTGGGTCAGAAGTTCTTCTTGAAAAAGAAAAAAAGAAAGAATTTAGGGATGAATTGGAGTTAAAAAACCCTCAGAATTTATTTGGTCATGGAGCTTGACAGGTAGTGGATCGTCAATGAAAGTGTATTGAATGAATGAAAAGGGGTTTAGAAGCACCCAGGATCAAGACAAAATTAACATTAAACTTTAAACAGAAATACTTAAAGAAAGAAATACATTGGAATTAAATTCTCTGAGGGTGAAGAAAAGGCTAAAACTTTAGCCAACAGAATGTTCTGGAGGTTCTCTCACATCTTTACCTGAAGCATGGAGGTAAGACAGGGAGGAAGCAGATAATTCATTTCCTACCATAATTCTGGCTAGCTCCTCTAGTCCTACTCCCTGGCCTACAGAAGTGCAGTCTGATTTACTGGCTGCAAACATCCCCTCCAGCCAGCTCTTGCAAGTATGAAACTAAGAATTTTGATAAATGTGTATTCGGTAGGTTTATGTGCATTACAGAATGCTCACCTCTTTTTATAACTGAAATATTCACACACAAAAGAGTCCTGTGTCTGGCTAAAGGTCTATTGTCATGATCACATTCATCTTGAAATTGGCATTCTAGAAACTACATTCCTCAGCTTTCTGTGTAGATATTGAATTCATACTTAAAAGAAGATTCTGGATCACTGTGATTTCAAGAGATTGATTTCCAAAAACCTGTCAGTGTACCAGAGTACTGGGAGGAGGGAGCGGGGGATGGCTTCCTTAGAACTGCCATATTTTTGGAAACTAGAACCCATTAATTTGCCCCACTCTCTGGGTCTACATTTAAACTATTAAACTTCGGCAATGAGGAAGATAAAGAAGAGAGAAAAGGGAAGGGAATAAGTCATGATGTGAAAGAAAGAGATGAGGAAAGGAGGAGAAAAAGCAAAAAAAAAAGACAAAAGGGAAAGTTAGGATGAGAGTCTCTTATTGGTCACTTCCTACTTCAAGTTTATCAAAACTTTGCATGTAATTGAATGAATACACATGTTCCTTTTCCTTTCATCACATATGAGATTGAGTCTTTTAAATTCTATCCACACATTTTGGTGCAGACAGACCATATCCAGGGGACTGGGATGAATTGGGATAAAATTCAATTGTACCTTGTTGTACCTTTGGTCTCCCAGAATGCTCTGAGGCACTGAAGGTCAAAAGTTCCACCTAGAGAAACTTAGCCCTATTCCAGTAGCACTGAAGGTACCAGTTCTTTCTTTACACAAACTGCCATTGCTATGAGTCAGTCTCTGTGATCACACTTCCAATTCTTTATACCAAAGTCCGTGCTAAAGAGCAAACCTCAATTATGAGGAGTCAAAGAATCTTGGCCCTTTCTAACCTGTGCGGCATTTGTTGCTCCATTTGCTGCTCAGAAAATGTGTCTCCAGAGTTTTCTACTTTGATACCAACACAGTTATGAAAATAGAGATCTGCCCTCTGTATCCTGGCTGTGAGATAAAAATGGAGTGTAAAAGTGCTCCTCTTTAGGAAAATTTCCTTCTTCTTTCTGTTCCCCAACCCACAGCTGCCACCTGCTAGCCTAGCTTTCATGTTTTGGCATTTAGTAACAAGCAGTGAAAGAAAGATAAAGCATTAGTCTTCATTTGAAGGCTATGAAGGCTTTGCTTAGTTCTGCTTTTGCAATATTGTGCTTATTAAATCTGAATATTTGATATAGTGTATGAACAATTGGGAATGGACTCCTGGGCAAGTAGTCCCAGGAAGAACCTTTAATGCTGTGCGTGACTATTAAAATGAATGAACCTTTTCTGTGTTTGTTATTAATCTTGCTTTAAAGGGTAAACATTGCTAATAAAACCATTCTCTGGCCCAGTGGGGCTGAGAGGCTCTGCATTTCTGTATCTGGCAGGCAAAATACATCACAGTGTATGATTGTGATGATCTGAGTACTAAGTTTTTGCAGTAATCTCCGGGGAATTCTCACACCACTAACCTAAAGCACCAGGGAAGGTAATTTCACTGATTTAGACAAAATGTCCAAGGAGAAGGAGCCCCAGTCCTGCCAATCTTATAGGTTATAATTGAACAATTGTTGCGGATGAGTGACATCCAGTTGGTTCCAACACAGCAAGCCTATATACAGCATAATGAAACACTACCTAGTTCTGCACCATCCCTGACTCATTGCCCATTAAGCCCACTGTTGAAGCCACTGAGTCCATCTCATTGAGGGTCTTCTACTTTCTCACTGGCTTTACCAAGCATGTTGTTCTTCTCCAGGAAATAGTCTCTCCTGATACTATATCCATCTCAAACTGTAGAAGTTGATTAAAAAAAATCTTCAGGTTCTTAATCTTTGGAAATAGTGAATGCATATATAATATATATGCATTAATAATAATAGTTTGAATTGGTGTTCCTTGTAGGCATTTGGATAGTTTCCTGTGACTGACAAGATCGTACTTCGGGATAAATCTTAAAATATTCCTTTTTGATGATGAATCTGATGTGGCACTATTCCTCTTCAATTTGTCATTCCTGGCATGTTGTTGTTGTTGTTGTTATGTGCCGTCGAGTCGTTTGCGACTCATAGCAACCCTATGCACAACAGCCCTAAACCCTGCTCTATCCTGCGCCAACATATTTCAGCTAACAGATGCTGCCCTGGATGTGCTCACCAAGTTGTGCCAAGAAATCTGGAGAACAACCACTTGGCCA